TCAACACATCTGAGGGTTCCGAACGGATTGCAGAGTAGCTTGCAGGATCTTGCGCAACAGAACAACTTGAGTTTCCCCTGCATGCTCAGGATATGTTCCAGAAGAAGAACACTCTGGGTCCCAGCTGAAACCAGCGTTGTGGGTTCTAATTCCGTTTGACATTCTGCAGTCGTGTAAGGAGCAGGGACTGTGCAGCCTATGCGTTCGGCGCAGCACAGGGCCGTTCTCAAGCAAGACCTAGGCCACACCTAGTATGGAGCGGCACAAGGTCGGACCGTAAGAAATCCAGCTACTTCGGAGAGCTTGAGCAAAAGAGTCCGACAACAGGCAACGTCCCTCTCCACTGTACATGGCCATTGTTTCCAGCTGCTCGTGCAAAAGCATGATACAAGCAGCTTCGAGTGCAATCACACTACATCAGGGATGGGCTCCAAATGCTTTGCTTCAATTCCTTCTATTCATCAATTGCAAGGGAGCTAGCCTGTAACATTGTGCCCTCACGGTGACACTTGGATGTTGAAAGAAGAAATGGTACCAGAGATTTTGCGGTTCTCGTCCTCTTCATGTTTAGTGTTGTTTGTTGACACAGATAGCAGTTCACTCAGGTGCCTACAGCACCTGTACTTTAATCGCCGGGGTGCAGGCTCGGGCACCGCGCCGAGACTCTGTATGGGGGTTTCTCAAAATTCGGGGCCTTGTTTTGCCAGGCTTTGTGCTTGAGAATTGGTGCAATGCAAGCGGCCCCTAATTCTGGGAAACTCCCATATCTAATGCGGGACACAGGCTGTTGCAAACCAACGCGTCCGCCGCTATCGAACAAAAGCCAAGAGAATCCCTTTTCGGGGATGCCTACTCAAGCTTTATGTGCTGGCAACCAACAAGCACCCCACCAAAGCTGGTGGATGTTCAGATATGTTTCTATGCCTGCGTTGTTGGCGCACTCAACAGTGGAAAGCTAAAGTATCAGAGCTTCCGAAAAAAGAGGGGCCCTTTGGCAAACTATCCCGAATGAAAGAGCTTTGCTTTGTTTACGATTCAGAGCAGACTCTGTTTGGTTCTGAATGCTTATGGTCATTAATGGTTCTTCGCAAGCTCTGATGAAGGGCATGTACCAAGGGCTCTTTTTTAAAGGCGTGTTAGGGGCCCAAGATGTTGGTATACGCAGCAATGAAGGCGAGGGGCCGAGGGACTTTCATGGAAAGTCCTGCATAAGCCCTGAGGCCCTCCAGGGGCCAGATAAACAAGAAGAGCAGCATGCATTCGACCCAACATGAGGTCAGCATCTCTACTGGTAAGACGCTTCGACCTGCTTTTGAAGTAGCGACGAGCGCTACAAGAATGCTGACAGTGAAAGAGCATGCTGCCTGAATTGGAACCATTTGGCTCTTATGGACACAGGGCAAAGGGGGGTTGAAATCAAACCCCTCGGCAGCTTCTGCCCCTGCCTGTTGGCCTTGTTTGGGGGCCATGGATCGGTCTTCCCTGCGTGAAACCGGCGAAAACGTCATGAGGCCGGGAACTGCACAGATTTTTTTGAGGATTACATACATGAGGGGTTTAAACTTTCCCAGCAGCTAATGTTGGACGACCAGGCCCTTCTCCCCAGAAACCAAGGCTATTCGGGGATGTTGGAAACCAGACCATGTTTGATGATAGGCGATGCAGTCAAGACAGTTGACAAAGATCTGCACTCCCGGTTCAGCAACGCCCTAGAAAGGTTTGTAGGACGCTTGTGGATGCTCCTTCGCAAAGTTTGAGAACAAATCCATCACAGATCGGCCTTGCCGAGGATCAGATCAGGTGAGCTCCTTTCAGAGAAAATTGTCCTTCCTAACGCAACCTTAGGATCAATTCACATATGCAGCTGTTGCGTGTTGTCACAATGAGGAGAATGCACAAGCTGGTTGCCACCGAAGCGCTGAATATCGACAATAGCAGCACCTCAAACAACACTAATGGTCCAAACATGGACAAGATCACCTTGACAGAAGCAGCAAGTAGAATCAGGCAGAAAGACTCGCAGAGAAATTGACCTCCACGTACAACGCATCTTTGCAGAGCCTAAGGACCCTGACGCCCCGGATGCATTTCTGAAGCCGAAAGCCCGAAGACAGCAAGCCCATAAGAGCGCTAGTCCAAAGCTTCAGCCTACCCCAAGCCAGCCACGATCATGCCTCATGCATTGAGATTCTGGTCCTTAGCAGCTAGGAAGCTCACAGCTTGCTTTGAGGGTTTGGGGCCTGTGTACGCAAGGGAGACCCCGCGGATAGCCAGCGCGGAGGGCTGCAAACTCAGCATGTTGAAGTGCAGGAGACCGTCATGAAGCCCTAGACATGTTCACAAGTAAAACACTCTTGATCCAACCTGTGGTATAACCTGTTCACCGTACGTTCTTCCTACTTCAAAGCTCTATGGAAGGTTATAAGTACAGACTGGCAGGCCTAGTCGAGGGTTCTGGTCATCCATATGAGCTCAGGGATGCCCAGAACGTGTTCCCTGGATCTCTTCTATGATCTACGTAAACAGGTTTAGGGGTTGGCAGGCTGTTTATAGACAAAGTAGTCATCAGTTTCCTCTCCAATGAGCCACCGCAGGACATAAAGCCTATTCACAGAAGAGACATGTCGAGCTTTGGTAGTGCGGAAAGAGGCGGTGTGCGAAGTAAGGATAAGGTAAATTGGTCAATTTTGCTTCTAGATACTGGCTGAAAGTAAGGGCCCTTGCCGTTGACGACCGCGGGTAAAAGACGCCCACGCTGCCCGAGCTTTGGCCCATGTGATGACAGCTCGGCCTTGCTTTTCATTACCCCCATGTACAGAAACATATCGTTCAACTGTGTTTGCAAGATTACTGTTTGTGCTCCCGTCTTTCAAAGGCCCTGGAGCGTTTCCCTTTCAAAACTAAATCTCGCCATGCTCTGTGGAAGCTATTACCAATCCATCCACCTTGTGGTTCCTGGATCATGAACTCAGGATGTTCTTGTTATGTGTTATTTCGAAACCTTCTTGCAGAGCATAAACGCACCCACCGGCATTCCTTTGAGCCTCGAGTTGTTTCGCAAACAACCGTGAAACCCAACGACTTGCCCATGTTTAGCCATACTCTGCAACCACAACCCAAAATGACTCAGCCATGTACCTCTTGCTTGCCCGAGGCTCCAACCCTCAGACACCCCGCAGTTCGCAGAGGGCGCAGGCCAAACAGACTTGCTTGAAAATTGAAAATTTGCTGAGGGTCGACGGATCAGCTTTGAGAGAATGTGATTCTGGAGGGCACGATGTATGGGTCACCGAGGAGCATAGCGGGTTTGACTGCAAGGATCGGTGGCATCGTTTCAGCTGTAGACAGTCAAGAATAATTCATCAGTGTTTTCCTGCCTCCATGGATTCAGCAGTCCCCGTCTTTGCCATAGATGTCCCTAACCATTCCCTTATGTACACCACGTGCACCCTGAAAAGCATGTGGTCTTGAGACGGATTTGGTCCCAGAAGGCCCCACATTTCCAAGCTTTGCAAACACTAGGATTTGATGTCGGGCATATTAGCTTTGGATGCTGTGCAGAAATTTCAGTGCGGCCTTTCACCTGCACGGTTGTTGAGCTTGTGCGGCTGAAGGCGGAGGTTTTAGTAGAACAGCTTCTGGAGGTCTCAGAGGCCTTTTTGGGCTCTTACAATCTGAGAGCGCTTTTTTGTGACCTTCTCGCCTGCTGAAAGGCACCCGATGCGTAGCAGCTGACCAGCTAGAGGATGCTTTCTAGAATCTGAGGTGTGCCAAATTCCCACTGGAGGGGTCTTTTCATCAAGCGTAGTAAGGTACGAAAGAACCCATGCAAGCCCACCTCTTGGGCAAGTGCTTTGAACTTGGTACACCAAGGGAGACTCAAAACTGGCAGCTGTCTGACTAATAGATAATTGCCAGCCACCTTCTGCCAGGACATGACCATCTCCGAAATGGAGTCAAGGCTGCTTCCAAGGTGGGATGACCTTCCTCTGACTACTTTGTGAGGATAACGCCTTGGATCTGGGCTCTGGATTGTGAGGGTAGCGTTACTTTGTTGGGGTTCTGGCTCCTGCTGGAGTTTTTTCATTAAAAGTCTCGTCGTCTAGCGGGAACAGGGTAATGCTCGGCTGGTTCCCCGTACAAAGAAAATATTAGAGAAAATTGGAACCAGAGCTCCCCAGCCCTTGACTGGCAGGCCCCAAACTGCAAACCTCCATTGAGGCCGCTCAAAGGAGGTCGTCATGGCGCGCTTCCTATGCCCGTTGCTCAGGGTCATGCAGCGTTCGCACCGTTTGGCTTGATGACTTGGGGTTTCGGGGCTGAAGCATTGCATCTGATACTGGCAACTGAACCACACTCCTCCTGACAACAAGGGTCAACACTGAGTTGCTGATATAAATCTGCAGGTATACTTCCTTTGCAGGCTATGGGACATTGTATCCATTCATGACCCTCCACAGATGCAAGTCAAACCGCTGGCATTCTCATCTGGAGGGCCTGCTGGCCAAGCAGTTTCCCTCTTAATGTGTCCTCCGTCTGGCTACAGGACTGCATGACCTTGACTAGCTCAGCCTCTGATGGAGTTTTGAAGGGTGCCCAGCAGCATGCGCGGCAAAATTCTGAAAGGGGAGACTTTAATTTGGGCTCCATGCCACAGCAGACAGATGGTTGGATGGCACAATCCCTACAGCCCTAAAGCGTCTCCTCTCCCGTCTTATACCACCAGCTGAAGTCTTAGCAGGGCTTGATGTGTATTTTAGGGGTTCTTTAACGGTTATATGGGGGTTATATTGGGATAATGGAAAAGAAAATGGAAACTACCACATTATTAAAGGGTATATATTAGGGTTAATATGAAATAAGGGAATAAAGAAAATGGAAACTACTATTTGTATACTTGCACTACATGCCTGGAAGCTTCTAAAGATTTGTGGCCCCTCTTTCGGATGATTCGGCTAAATTGTGACTATGTGCGATTTGTATAGGCTGACAATCGAGACATGGACAACTTCCAGGCGATTCCCGTCACCGTGAAACTTTTTGCTAGGATGGTGGAAATGTTCGCTGACTGGCTTGGTGTCAGACCACCAAAGTCCACATCGAAAAAAAATGAGGGTCCCTTTATGCAGAACTGCTGCACAGGCCTCGTGGCCCAACCTCCGAAGGCTAAACGAAAACCCCGAGAACATCCGAAAAGGGGTTCTAAACTCTATATACAAACCCAATATACTATAGTACTTTCCATTATCCCAATATCACGGCAATATACCTAACCTAGACCCCAAGAAGGTCAGCCAGGGAGCTGCTGGAAGACAACAAGCAGCTCATACTGGAGAAAAAGGAACAGAAGGCCTTCTAAGGTTTGGAGTTCGGGGATTTGGGGTTTGAGGTTCTGTTTTCTTGTGTTTTGGGTTTAGGCTTCAGGGCTTGGCGTTTCTGGGTTGCAGGTCTAGAGCGTTGGCTGCGGGGTGTCCCTCTTAGCAGATCACCAGAAAGATTCGGTGTGTCCCTCAGGTTGTACTTACTCAGGGGTTGCCAAGGCACTTTAGTGTTAATTACGAAGCTCAGCATGACTGGGCTCAATTCAGCCCAATCTAGATTCCTCATGGATTTCCTGGGAGGATGTATCGCGTCAGATGTTACAGAGTCTCCGGCTTGGGGTTTAATTAGGCTGGATTATGATGTCAATCGCATCACCATCAGAGCATCATGATTGTTAGAAGTGCTTCGGCAAGCGCAGTCAAGAGGGATGTCAGGGAAGAACCCTAAGAATCCTACAGCAGATCCAGGCAGACACTGTCGAATTTGCAACTAAGACTAAAAAATCCCAGGGAGCTGCGCTGCAGAAGGTAGCCTCACTTGTCACAGTCCACGGCCCTAGGCCATCCGACCCTCAATGCATGATTCTTGCTTCCCGTACGCAGCCCTAGAAACCTATTACAGTTGCTCCTACATGAAAATCTTTCCACACATTAGGTCAGGTTCTCATATCGCGTGGAAGACCCCAGCTACATAATTCAAACACAGACCTTGCAGCGCACAAAGCTGGGAGGCGCTGGCAAGGAAGAACTCGCGAGAGTTAGTGCAGAAGCTGATCGAAGAAGATCGCGTCCGCAGCGAGGGCATCAAGGCTGAAGTCCTATGCGCCAGCACAGTTCCACGATCTCCTAGTAAGCAGTCGAAATTGACGTTCATGGGTTTTCCAGACAATGTGTGCCCCGATGACTCAGGAAGGTCGCCGGGATTCACCCTGTGTCGAAAGATGAACTTCATGTAGGAGTGTAGGCGCGCAGATTACTTCAGCTCTCAAATCTTCAAGCCCCAAATAGAAGCCCAGGTTTTTCTTGGATCACTGTGTGCAAGAGGTCAAAATACGTTCCTCAAGAAGAACGAAACTGGATATACGGCTCCAAGAATGGGAGGAAAGCTAGCAAAACAAGAAGCGAGCATCACCTTTGTAACAACCCGAGGAAAGGCTTGTACCAACCTAGGCTTGTACCGACCTGAAACCCCTGACTGCCGGCCCTGCCACAGGCAACGGACCAAAGCAAAAGATCGCAGCAACGAGAGTTAGCGTACCTTTCCCAGATGGGCGGGGTGCCAGGGGAAACGCTCGCAATGATATAGGCCCTGACATTTGTTGACATACTGTAGACCTGTGTTTCGTACTGCGCCTGCCTAGGTGCAATGTTCATTTTTCCCGGCCTGGGTTCGATGCTAAGTTCGTAGGATTTGTGAGAAATTGCTTGGGCTGGGTTACGTGTGCGGTCATGACTTGTTTTTCCATACCCATGTGGGGCGTGATTCTGCTGCTTTTGGTCCACGCGAGATTTGAGATGAGACTCGGCTTGCTCACTTGGAATTAGCCACCGAGGAATGTGGCTTGAACGGCCCAGAAGTGCGTCGCAGACAGAACCACCACATGCCATAAGTGTTGCGAGGCTACACATTCTAACTGCTGTCCCTGAAGCTCCAGCCTTACAAACTCCATGTTTCCTTGGTTACTACTTGAACGTCATGCCCAAACCAGAAACCCAGCCTACTTTGGGCCCTTTACTAGCGCAGCACCTTTCCGTGAGTGACGGACTAGTATTGGCATCTCACTTCTACCTTTAGTGGCGCCAACTGGGAGTGTCCTCCCTTTCCAAAGCATGTTGCCGTCTCAGGCCCGCCGAAAAGGCAAGGACTCCTCAGTGCATAGGGACCCCTAGGAGGGAAACCCATCGGTTGGAAAGTTCCCGCACCATCGCTGTTGCGTTCAACAAATCCTTACCCGTACAGATCCTAAACGCTGTCGGGGCGAAACAGTTGCTCATACCCCTACTTAGGCCTTAATCCCGAGTTCTCCAAACTACTTTAGACCCCTGCACAGTGAGGCAGAAACCCACGAAAATACGGTGACTAGAGTANNNNTACACTCGCTATAATCTTATTTTAACCCCATCCCCCCCTCCCCCCACTGTAGGCCCTTTGTAAGCCCTTCATAAAGTTGCTATAAACCTCTCATAAATCCCACATAGGCCCCTTATAAACCCTTTATCTAAAAAGTTAGTGTAAAAGCGCTTGTAAATTCCTCAACCCTAAATTCCTCCACCGTGAGGCAGCAGTACAAAGCCATGATCGCGCAGAAGGAAGCTCAAAGAGCAGCCGTAAAGGCTTCTGCGCAGAAAGGCGGGCAAAAACTAGTCCAACTCCATGTAAGTGGCGCGTGCCCAGAAAATAAGCATTACTTGCAAGACATGAACTGGAAAAGGAGTCAAGGTAGGATATATTTACATGTTGAAGTGGACGGCACTTGGTAAGCTGACCGCCTCAATGACAGCAAGCCCCCACAAAGTGCAATTCCTGAACCTTTAGCACTTCTTCTCTTTGCCCTTTCGGGGCACAGTCCTTCTTGCCTCGACAGGTCAGACGATTTCTTATTTCCCTTTCGTGGAGGGCGAGACGATAGCGAAGGCCAAAAGCAAGCATCACTCCGCCAAGTCATGGATTCTGACTTCTGATTCGTCTTGCAGCATAGGTACCATCTCGGGAACCTCATCAGCCCCACGGTCGGTTGAATTTATATTTTTCTTTGCAGGGCCGCGCTGCCAAGAGCGCCGTCCTCCGCGAAGAGATGCAGGCTGACCTTAGGTTTTTTGTGTTTGAAGGTATAAGGATATGACGAAATATGATGGTCAACAGCTGACTCTTCAGGGTTGATTTTCCCTGCAGATCTTAAGATTGATTCTCAAGTTGCCAACCAACACCCTGAAACATTGGTGCCAACACGAAACTTCAAAAGGTTTTTGGTACATGTCCCAAATGAACCTTGTCCAGCGTCATGGTCTTGATTGGTGATAGTGTTTCACAATATAGCTAGACCATACCCATGAAAGTCCTCAGATACACCTATACACCCTCCCTGCAGCACCCGGCAAAGAGCGCAGACATACAAGCCTTGCTGGCTCCTGCACCCTCGACCCAACACTGCGCGCACCTAAACCACAAGTCCTGAACACAGCAGGGCTTCCTGCGGCAGCAGCGAGAAAAGCAGCCGCCGCGAAACGACCCTCGCACATGGCAAGTAGGCATGGCAATTAGGTGGAGTTGAGGGATTAGGGCTTATGGCATAAATTTCCGCAGCCAAATGCGCAAGCCGCGCCGAGAATTTTCAGATGGTGTATTCTGTTTGTCGTCCAGCCTCTCCAATATTCATGCGTTCATCGATGTAGCCGTATTGGCAATTCAAAAGGCCTAGGCAGCCACATCGGTAGCTCGTCCTTCCGGAAGTAGTAGACCTGCAGAATTTACTTCTCCAACCTCCTAGGATCTGAAAATGGTGTAGCAGAAAAAGAACCATCAATGGATCCGTCATGAGGAAATATTGAGTGGAAGGATCCTAGCGGCAGGAGGCAGAATTAGTAGTCACAGACGCAGTAGTAGTTGTGTAGTGTTGTAGAAGAGTAGTATCTTACTAATTAAAAAGCCTTCCCTGTGACCAACTAAGGATGCCCTGATCAAGGACGCATGCACAACTTCGATTTGAGATTTGTACCGAGCGACGCCGTCAAGCATGCCGGGGAAGCACAAGCCTTTTCATGATAATCTCTACAGCAGCTTGCTGCATGCAACAGGGGCCTGAAGAGTTGGAAATCTTCATCCAACGCATTCCGGGGACAATGTTTGCTACGTGCAGAATCCAACCTAAAGCACCATCTCCACTTTTCGGTTGTTCCACCGAAATTCATGCCTCTTTCCCACTCAGATCTTGGTCGCCATGTAGCCTCATCGTAGCGGCAGCCCAAAATCCAGCAACAGCGGTCATCTCCAGGACACCCGCGCAGACAACGTTCTGTTGTATTCGATTCGGCCGAATGTTCTGACCTCAGCTGCACCTCTGCCACACCACTGAGAGGGCCCCAAATGCGGCATGCCCAGTTTAGGCTTAGGTAGCTGCAGTCATGGGTGGATTGGGGCAACACTCAGCGGGTTCTGCATGCATCCCGCTTTTCTGATATGCGGGTTAGGGTCGCGCTTGAGGTTTCTTGAAGGATTTACAGAAGCTCCTTGAGATTGAACACTCCTCCAGTTGTTTGAGGATCCCAGTTGTAATTTCTCTTCCTCTGGAGTCTGGAGACTCTGAAACCGGGGATTGTGCACATAGTTTGCACAGCCAGGGTTCCAGTTCTGTGCCGACGCAAACCAGAGGCCATGGAATACGAACAATGCCCCACGTACTTTTGAGATCACCCCAACTCCTGGACCCCGAACTCCTGGATTTACGGGAAACTAACTACACTTCCTGACGCCTGCAAAACTTCAGCAGCCTCTCTGCAGGGAACTGTGCCGGCTGCCAAAGTGGTGCCAGGCTCAGCATATGCCAGAGGTCACGGGAAGAAGAAATAGAAGACGTTGTGGTAGCTATGCAGGTGGGTAGGCACGGAGGTAGGTTGGGTAGAATCCGTCATCGTGCCAGCAGCAAGCAATGCTCGAAAGCCTGCATCCTTGGCTACGCAGGACCAGACATGAGCTGCATCTGCTACAGATGCACCTAGTTTGTTTGACAACTCGGGCTTGGCATCCATTTCTCTTCTAGTTCATATTTTCGAAGCAGCGCCTAACCTGACCTCAAGTCTTCCGTTGATCCCACATTCAGTTTGTTTACTCCTGCGGGGGAGCATGATGGGTACAAGCTGATGGGCCGCGCACCTCTAAGCAGAGCACATGAGGATGTGGAAGCTCTCGAGACAGACATGAAGCTAGTGGATGAGAGCGGCGCCCATATGGCGAGGCGGGCGCTTACTGTACGGGACTTTCTGAAATTTGGGGCCCTTTGTTAAGTCTGCATGCTAGAGTTCAGGTTTTCTTCAGCTCAGCACAGACAGTGCAGAGGCATTGTTGATTGTCATTGTTGGTGTTGCCAACATCGCCGGTTTGGGACCCTCTTCCATCAACAAAAAAGTTTGTCATATGTTCTTAGTGCTGTTCTGACTGTGGTCTGGCTTGTTGAGCTGCTGGCGCTCATTCTTCGACTCCCTCTCCTGCGCCAATGCTGTCCAACCATGGGATGTCAAAGTTCCACAAGGGAGGGCCTTTATGACAAGTTTGCGTTGGTCACGGCCACATGGAGCAGCAGGGGTCTCTCATCTGCTCCTTATGCGGCTGAACAAGTCAGACATACACACACACACATTGCATGGTTGATGCTTTGAGGGCGTTATCGTCAAGGCAGTGTGAAAACGAGGACAAATGCCCACAAAGGTGGATGACGGAAAGCGAGCCAAGCGTGAGCTGGACAAGATGAGATAGTTTCAAGCTTTTGGGGAGGGGCTGTGCGGGGTCTTGGGTGGAGTCGGCGGATGCAGCGATGGGCTAAGCGGAGGATGCTCTGGGGCCACCCCAGCAGCGTCGCGCTGCAATGAATGTTTACAGTGCTCGTGTCTGAAAAGCTTAGCAGGTGTTTGGCACCACATTTGCAGTGGTTTACCAATTTTTTAGCAGGTTTTTGGCTAAGTCTTTTGGGTGTGTTGGATGGGGTTGACCAAGGCTTGCATGCTCCGGGTTTGTTCTTAGATCAGTTGCGTGAGGCAGTTGCCGGGCTCGGTGCCTGGATGACTTACTTCTGCCACACTATTGTGCGTTTCTTTTTCTCCGTGTCCTGGTGCACCAAAACTTGGCGCTTCTTGTTGAAGGGCAAAAGGTGGGTTCACAACATGGTCCTCTTGTGGTTGTGCCACTGCAGGGTCTCTCCCCTGGAGGCCTCAGGCGGCCAAGTTGCCAGACCGTGATCCTGGAACATCTTCATACACGGGGGTGCATGTCTCAACCCCATGGCCTCCAGCCAAACTGTCAGGCCGCGGCTCCTGGAACATTTCATGCATACGATTCGTCAGCATTGCGCTGGTTTACAGTCAGGGGGATCCATCTTAGGGTAGCCCGCAGAAGCGTGGATAAGGGTCAGGGCGGGTCCAGATATACATGCTGTGGTGGCGGCCAGGCGGAAACATTGGGGGAAGCACTAACCTGGTTGGTGGTCGAGTTCAGGACATCCACCCCGACAACCGGCTGCCCCAATAATTACAGACCGTTGCGTGCTGGCCGTTTTTGGCATGGAGAGTTCACAACATGATGGGCCTCTTGGGCGTGCTCTGAAATGCACACCCGAGATTTCACGTACATTTCCCTTTTCTGAAAGGCGCGCCGAGGGTCAGCATCAGGTGCATCTAGCTTTCCCGGCCACCCAGCATCATGAGCATCATGAGATGAGCAGCATTTCCCTTTCCTGACAGAAATATGCACCGACGGCCGGCATCATTTGCATCTCCCTTTCCTGGAGTACGCACGGTCAGCATCATGAGCATTAGCTGCACCGCCCTCTCCTAAATCACGTGCCTGCAGCCAGCGTCATGGGGATCAGGTGCATTTCCTTTTGCTGGAACATGCCCCCGTCAGCCATCAGCTGCATGTCCCATTCCTGAAATACACGCCGGCGGTCAGCATTTGAGCCTCAGCTGCGCTGCCACGTTTAGAACACTCGCCGGTAGCCAGCAAGACGAGCTTCAGCTGCATATCCCTTTCCTGGAAACACACATCACGACCATCAGCTGCACTTCGCGGCAGCCAGCCATACGAGCAAAAGCTGTGTTTTCTTTTCCTGGAAGACAGACCGGCAACGCGCAGACAGCAGCAAGAATAAGCTGCATTTCCCTCTCGTGGAGCAAGGGCCGACAGCCAGCATCATCAGCATTGGCCGCATTTCCCTTTCATGGAGTACGTGCCGGCAGCCAGCATCATGAGCATCAGCTGTGTTTTCCTCTTCTTGGGATATGCAGCATCATGAACATCAGCTTCACCTCCGTCTCCGAGCAGCACACGCCGAAAGCCAGAATCATGAGCAGCAACTGCACATTTGGCATGCGCCCCAACAGCCAGCATCAAGAGCATAACCTGTCCCATTGCTGGAACACGCACCGCCTGCCGCCGTCTTGCAGAACCCCCTTATCTTTGCAGAACCCCCTTATCTTGACAAATCGTGGCTTCGCTTCAGGCATCCGCTCTTTCTGACGAAGAGCCGAGATCACATGCCAGATTCCCAGGCTGCGCAGATCGACGCCATGAGTAGAAGCCACATGTGATGGTACAAAAGGTCCCCGCATCTGACAGCTTAAGGTCTAGAAGGCTCTACGATGAGCATGTCCGCAGGGCTTTGGAGGACAAGGCCAGCTGCTCGAGGGTGTTCAAGGTTTGGGCTTTCGGAGTATAGGCTTGAAGTTTGGCACTTGAAGTTTAGGGCCGCCCGGCCTCCAATAGTCTTTGAGAACGTCCTAGTTTTTCTGGTGCTTCAGACAGTGTCTAAGGGTTTGAAGACAAACTGAAGATTACGTGAGGCGTGTGTGTGGGAGTGTTCTAGGGACATGTGACGAGGTGCTCCTGCAACGTAAGACTATCCTTAAGCTCATCCAGACGGACATCGGTTATATCGTCCCGCCATCACTGGTTGACGTCGGAGAGCTGTGGTTGCTTTCGGACCTGAATTGATCAGTGCAGCTATGATGCCCCTGAAGGCCCCAGAGAACCTGGACATACTGAGCTAGGCACCCATCTTTGTCGCCTCAAATATCCCTGCAACTTATATGAACAAGTATAAGCCAAACACTGCTTTCAGCTTAGTGGAATTCCTCTCTTCTACACCCCAAAAACTTAGATCGTTCTCTCAGAAGCAAGCCATACCTTGTCGTAATGCCTCCTCAAAGATGTTCCGGCTCAGAGGCCACGGGCCTTGCCGTGGCCCCTTGGGTTCACGGATTATGTGAAGTGTAGACCTGCAGGTAGATGGAACTCCAAGGTTCATAGCCCATTGTGGGTCTGAGCTCTCAATCCAGCATTAGAGCTGATGGCACAAAAAATGTTGATAACAACCCAGTCGCCAAAACTGAACCAACCCGCATACTAGAATGGCTCAGCAGGAGCTATTGCCTGCAACACTGGCTAAGAATGCAAGCTCCCGGATGAAAGGTGGAGCAGACGAAAGTGGAGTTGGCCAATCTGGCCAAGAAACGTCAGGCCCCGACAGCTGAGCTTGGGGTTGCGGGCTCAGGGCTGAGTTTCGAGTAGGCTTAGGGCTTGTTAGTTCTGGGGTCAGGGCAGAAGTTGGGGCTTGGCTACAGCTATAGCGCTGGAAGTTGATCAACATGTAGAAAGAGGTGCTGAGATTTTGAACGTGAATGGGAGGCTGTACCTTGCACACCTCCGCGTGCCCGTCATTTTTTGGGTTCTTCCTGGCTCCCGGGGCACATGATAGGCGGGTTTTGTTCCTATTCCCAGAAAGACTGACTGTACCATAGCCAGCTCCGTTCCCCTTTTCTTCTCGGCTGGAGAGCTCCAAGGGTACATACCTGTGAACCCTTGGATACTATGGGTGAGCACGTAATCGCTTCCCCCTAATAATAAACGATGTCCCCCCCCCCCCGCAATATTGAATAATCCGGGTGCTCAAGATTGTTTATTATTAGGGTGCATATTTATTGAGAGAATTTGGTAGGGCCGCCTTTAAATTCCTTTTCAATCAGTTGAAATCGAATTAAAATTCCTTTTAGATGAATTGACATCGAATTAAAACTCCTTTTAAAATGAATTGAAATCGAATTCAAATTCATTTTAAAATCAATTGAAATCGAATTAGAATCCCGTTAGATACAATAGAAATTTAATTAACAATTCCTTCTAAAATCAAGTGAAATCGAATTAAGATCCATTTTAAAATCAATTGAAATCGAATAAAAACCCGCTAGAATCAATAGAAATCGAATTCAAATTCCTTTTAAAAAAGTGAAATCGAATTAAAATTCATTTTAAAATTGATTGAAATCAAATTAAAATCCCGTTAGAATCAATAGACATGTATTTAAAATTCCTTTTAGAATCAATTGAGATCGAATTAGTACAGCCCCTTTTAAAATGCTCATGAGGAATTTTTNNTTATTATTTATTATTAGGGGGGTTTTATGAATTTGTTAGGTTCATGCCCTAAACCCGCAGCCCGACGCTCTGTCCTAGACCATTGAAGCCTGCCGTCAGCCAGCACCATGTGCATACAAAAGGTAGAGGCTGGGAAAGCTGCATCCCCTAGTGCCGGTTGACTGCGAGGAGGGCTCTAAACCTGAAGCTATTGATTCAAGATATCAAGTGGCAGGAAGAGGTGCACATGCTGGAGGATTCGATGCTTGTGGCAGATGCCCTCCGCCACGAGACTTGGCCAAAGTCTTTTTTACCTTTGGGCACCTGCCGAGACTTCGGGTCTGGGGTCCCCAGTTCGACCCTGGTCATGAGGAACATTCGCGACATTCTTCATACCCTAGAACCAAGACAAGGGTGATAAGCAAGCTACACGCAGAACTTGGACACGAGCGATATCCTGCTCCCTCGGTGAGTGTGGCAATCCTATTTGGGGTACGTAGGATCGTCTTCCTGAGAAACGCTTGTAGGAAATTTGTGAGAGGTCCAAAACCTTGATGAAGCACAAGATGTTCCTGGGTGCTAAGGCACCATTGGCGTGCGGAAACTAATTATGCTCGAGTTTGAAGATGACATGTTCCTCATTTGTTCTTCCATGCCTGAACCACTATCCTGCTGCCGCGGGTTCTATGCTGCACGGAAAGCCTGCGCCCGCCGAGCGTCCATCTACTAGTCAGACTAGCCAGACGAAAGCCGGTGTTGAACATTAATAAACTAGGCGCCAGGAAGAGCCTCGGCCCGCGGTCAAACGAGATAGGGAGATTGTCAAATTTCAAGCCAGTTGCCGCAGCATTTCCTGGCAGTGCCCAATTTCAATGGCGGGGATGCTCCAGTTCAAACAACTTAGATTCGACCCTATACGCTGTGAGAATAGCGCCCGTCTCAGGATGGCACCACCGCAAAGGCAGATGCAAGGAGAAGACATGCCGCTGCCCTCAGTTACCTTCATAAAGTCCTGCAGCACCAATTGGGCCGGGTTGCCGAAATTGTACCCCGTCATCCGCTCCTTATGCTAAGGGTTGTGCCGCGTCCCCAGCTTTGGAAGTCTCAAACATGCTCTGCAGCTTCTATGTCAAGATCGCATGCAAGGGTCTCTAATGGGGAATTTACAGGGGAGCCGTCTTGGCAAGGACCTCCACTGCAGCGTTAAGGATGTCTACTTCATAGATGTGTCCGTCAACAAGTCTCACATGTGTGCCAGGGAACTGGCTTTAATACTTGCCACAGACATAACAACTACACTAGCATTCCCACTCAAACTATTTAACCAAAGCTCCGAGTACGCTTCTGACCGAGGCCAGCTTCTTAAAGGACCAGATTGAGGAACAGCGCCAGCGACGGCGAGCAGAGAAAGAAAGCAAACGGTACGAAGCTGCTGGGTACTGGGGTCCAGAGGAGCAGGGGGGGTAGGAAAGGGTCAATCAAAGAGGTGTCGGTGTAGGATGTAGGTTGTCGTGTAGAATTTTGAATTATGGCTCTGTGAAAAATGCTGGCCTACCAAATCTTTTGCCACATGACTCAACGATGCCTCGGGGTTGAGGTGGTATTCTCAAACAACCGCTTGGGGTTCAGGATGAGAAGCTGAGCGAAGAGGATTGACAGTCCTCGTGGCTTTAAAAGTCGCTTCAAGTAATTTCAACATGCTAAGATTGCTTGGCTGAGGGTCCAATGGGCTCCTATGGGGTAGTGGTCAAGGCTGGTGGCCAGTTTCAAGCTGCGGGTTGCACAGCGCCGTGTTGCATCGGATGCATATGTAGGGCGGAACCTCGGAGTTGAACCCCCCCCCGCTTAGGTAGGCGGTTTGGAGATCATGAGAGGGCTACACTGAACCGTTCGGTCCTGAATCGGTGACCCCCTCAACCAGCAACATCCCCCCTTCAGTACAATGACCATGGCGCAACCTTCCCAAGCCTTTTAAGGCCTACCTCTCCAAACCGAGCCGTACCAGTCCCTTCTTTTGGACGACCTCTCGGAACCTCCCTTTCAAAACCTGATTTGGATGAGGACAAGCCTGCGCAATCCGTGGACACTCACCGATCCCATTGCCAAGACCTGATCAAACAAATGGAGGCCGGCGGCCTTCTGCTGAACTGAGCCTGCTGCTTTGTAATATCTTGGATGCATGGAGAGCGCTTGGGCTTTTGGCAAGCTGTCTCTGACAACATCGTGCAAGTTAAGCAAGGAGCCTAGGGTTTGGATGGTGTTAAGAAACTTGGGCAAAGATCCCACAATTTCGGGGTATGTGGGGCGATCCTGAAAGAGGCTCCTAAGCTCCGGACCCTGAATCCGTAAGAGCATAAGGATCTTCATCACATCAATAAGACAGGTGGCCAAGATGAGCCCCATTCTTACTGCCATAAAGGCACCTCCCACAAGTTGCTGAGCCCCAAAAAACCCACCAGATGCTACACCTAAAGCAGCCAGCCTTGCAGAATAATCCTTACCCTGGAATTCAGGTAGACCAAAACCGCCGCCTAATCGACCGCAGCATGCGGCTGCGGCAAGAGCAGCAGATCGTCAACAATTGCTTCTTGACCGAAATACGTGGCCAAATGGCAGACAGTAGTGCTTCGGCTACGGGTTCTCAGAGGCAGGAATTGGAGTTTGGAAAAAAGGCTTGAGGAAGGACTGCTGCTTGACAGAGGCGATTGAGCAGGCAACTTGCCTACAGAGGGTGTCGGTCTAGCTGCTAGACTTGGGACAAAATCCAGAACGACCCACAGTACGCTGAATATGAAGCAGATGAGAGACAACACCCCAGGGTCCCTTGAAAGGAGTGAAAAAGTTGAAGGGACAACCGACCGGTCTCTAGCCCGTAGCATCCAGAGTTCCAAACTGCTCAAAACCTGCCAAAGCGCTTAATCGAAATTGGACCTTACGCCCCGAACTCCATTGCCTGGGACCTTAGTTCCCTAACTCTCTCCTGGATCTGGATCCACAAGGCCTCCTGCTCCTCATTCGCGAAGCTGTAGATCCCACAAGGTATAGTTCAGATGGAACAAGATCGGGAGCTGGAGCGGCAGAAAGTGGCCCAGCACCGGGACGTCTTGGTTACTACTTGGCAGAGCCAAGTGCAGCTTCGAGAGGCTTATTTTTGGGGCGGTTGGCTTGCAGACACTACTGTAATTAGGGGGAATTTTGAAGGCGTGTTAGCGTGGACAGCGAACTCACGTTCCGACATCAGGTTTTGAGCTTGACAAATTGGGATTTTTTGGGTGTCCGAAGTATCTAGCTTAAGCACGGCCATGAATCGGACCAGCCCACTTTCTGTTCTGCCTAATGATCTCCAAGCACCAAGTAGCAGTGTTTTTGCATTGGTCTGGGGGCACTTGCTTGGAGCTTCTGAGTTTGGACAACGGCGAGTGCTCGGTCTCAACTGCTGCGGGTCATTCACACCTACATAGTGCCTGCATAGCGTTGGTTTGCATGTCGAAAGGTATACAAGTATCGGATAAGATAAGACTTGACTTCTTTCATTATTTGCTGTCAAGACTTACTGCACCGACTTTGCCCCGCCGTGGCCATCAGAGCTCTTTGAATTGAAGCCCGTAGGCGGCCAGGATTGCCTAAGCCTTGGGCCTCTGGACTAGCTCTCCCACGGCCCAACTCCTTTGCAAAAGGCCTCAACGCCCCCGAGGCATGCAGAAAACTCAGACCCCCATATTGTACAAAACAGCTATTGAAACCATCCGGCAAGTTATACGGACCCAAAGCGAGGCCCACGTACTTGACTTTGAGAAGTAATCCTTATGACCTCCCAAATGGAGCCGATCTTGACAGAACAGTCTCCCAAATGGTCTGGTACAGGCGAGGAAGTCCATCGAGGGTATCTGAGATGCCATCGTCCAGGCTGGTGGGGTTCGGGGGATTGAGCTTGAGAGGTCAGGGTTTCGAAATAGGGCGCACTCATCATGGATTAGTGTTTAGGGTTTTCACTTGCGTGCAGGACAAAGCAAAAAGTCCCATTACAACACAACGCTAGTGGCGGCTAGGGGCTTAAGTAGCTGTTATAGCTAGGCACGTTGTTGGCGGCAGGCAGTTCCCCCTACAGCCTGATGACAACAGCCCGCCCCGCCCGAGTGCAGATTTGTCTGCCCTTAGTCCTTTGCTGGCATAACCCGACGGTCCCACGTCAAGGGACCATGCCGCCTCAGAGCCTATCCCTACAGCACATTTTCCAGGCTCCAAGCTAAGCAGATTTCCCAAGCTGTCTTGTACGCCCTCGTCATGCATCTATGCAGCGCAAGCCAACCCCTAATGCAGACAGGTCTTTTTCAGACATGGCTGCGTACCCTTGTATTTGCCAGACAGGCTTAAAAGCTCATTGACCAAACAGGTGTTTTGGTGTTCATGGCAAGGGCTTAGATGCGGACTGGAACCTAGGTCAAAAGGAACACAAAAGCACCTGTGAACAATGATCTCCACTACGCTGTGATCTTGAACCGCAAAGCCGCAAAACCTAGGCCGGGTACCCAGACCCTCTGACATCACGCGAGGCTTCTTCCTGAGCATCCGGAACCTGCTAGTGAATGCTGGGTTGAGGGCTGAAATTGCATCTTAAAGGGGTCCAGCGGTAACTCTTGACAAATTTTCTGTAACAACAAGATAATGCCAAGGTCCAGGGGCTGCTTCCTCAATTTCCATCTGAAGCATCTCGCCGCCTACGAGCGGGTTGCATGGGGGCAAATATTGGAATCAAACAAATCGCAAATTAAATCAAATGTGGGACTATGCACCTTTCCAGTGGAACTTGTGGTTCGCCTAAGGATCTCTTGCAGTCAAGCCGCGAAGTTGTTTCTGAACAGTAAGCCCTGGATCTCATCGCAGTTACGTGGCAAAGTGGGATCCTCCTTTATCTCATCAGACAGTGACTTCCTGATGAAATGCCACACAGCGGGGGACCACTAATTTTCAGACACCCTGTGGCAAGATGTTCTGATGCCCAACCCAGGAGGATGTTTCACCCCTTGTGAATGGCGCCGGGCTGGGCGGTTTGTCAGTTGAAGAAGCTCAGTCTGCCGAAACAAAGGACTACAACAAATAAGTATTTGGCAAAAGAGCAACAAGCACCCTGATCATCATCAACAACATCATCGCCACATGCCCCACTGGAATTTTGGCTGTTGTCATGGGGGAAGAGGATGGTGCAGCAGGCCATCACACTCAGCCTGAAATCCTGAAACCCTGTACAAGGATTCGGGGAAATAGGAAGTACTCCTTTGACAGAGTGTCCCAGACCCTGAAAGCAGCAACTGCCAAGACCACGCCTAGACCCACCCCAACTAAGACACCGTGAACCCCCTGCCAAATGAGCGCCCCTAGCTAGGCTCAGTCGAAAAGCGACTGCATCTCGGGAAAGGTCTGACATCTTTCAGACAAAGCCGATTTGGATCTTCTCTAACAAGGTCTGGGATATGGGCAGATTCCTCGTTGCAGATTTGGGGCATCACGGGGTTGAGGTCAATTTACTTGTCAGAGTCGGAAGACCTGCAATTACACCATAGTCACCTCCATAACTCAGAGCCCAATGCTCCCGCCTTCGTGAACCAAGCGCTCTCAGCCCATGTGGCTTGACCTTGCTTAAGGGAGACCCACCTCCTTATTGTCTGAATCTTCGGTCAGAGGCAGCTCTCCTACTGGCGGCATCGTTGGCTGGGACTGGAAGCTGTAGGAGTCAGAGTTCAGGGGTTCGGTGGTCAAAGGTTTGGGGTTGGTAGGAAGAGGGAGCTGTTCTCAAAATTATTCCTACATGCTCCCTCATGTATCCCCAAAAATCCCTGAAACATTAACGTTGTTGAGTTGAGGTTACACGGGTAAGGAGCGAACGTATCTTAGCAAGTAGAGGCCGGGTACGTAGAATGTATATGGATGCCGTTCTAAACCCGCGCCTTTAGAGGCAAGACTAGGGCGNNTTAGGCGGAACGTGTCCAAAACCCCACGCGCGCAAGCTGGCGCAAGGGCGGGCGCAAGGAAATCTAATGCTGGAGCACCGCTATTTGAATTTAGAACAACATCCATATGAGACCTTAGCTCTCAGAAATCTGGGCGCATAGGTTCAAGCATCGTGTCTCTGAAGGCACCCTGCGATTTTCCTGCTAGAGTCAGATCAGGGTGTCAAAGATGATGTGTGCTCGTACCACAAACGAAAGTCCTAAAACTGCATACCCGAAGCGGGGATCTAGCTGAGTTTGTGTATTGAATCGTGTCGCCGCGGCTGCATCGAAATAGTCAGCACTTGACAGCATACGCGCAAATGCAAAATAGTCAGACAGCGATTGCGTGATTAATCAGGATGAGTAACTGATATCTAGACGTTTTCCCAGAAATTGAGATGATGACCTCGTGCCAACCCTGTATGATCTTGAAAGCTCGCCAGGCTTCTTGCATTCCTCCGGAGATATTCTTTCAGATCTGTCGATTTTTTCTGACAAGCAACTTCATGACTGATTGCCAGGTTGAGGAAAAGTTAAACCAAGGTTGGCAGCCTCCACAATGTTCCCATATGTAAAACAGATCGCTGATTGGGACAAATCCAAATTCGTCCAATGATGCATTCAGAGACCCCCGACGGACCATGAGATTGATGTACCGACAGACCATCAGAACGACGGACCGAAACACGAAGAGATTGACAGACCGGCAATTGATTGACTGTCATTCCGATCCGCAGAATATTCACAGGTCGACTCAGGGGTGAGGTCCAAAAATGCCTGTGCATGGAGATTTCAGAAACAACCGAGTGGGAGGCACGACCTACGCCAACGAACGACCGCGCGCAGACTGAGGCGGAGAGAACGAGCTGGAGCTGGGAGAGGGGAGGGGGGGGGGACAACAATTGTCATCCTTTCCGGACCAAGAATCTCGGGAAATTTAGAGCTTCTAGGGACCCCGCAGGAGGCATAAAGGAGGCAAAAATACAAGTATCTTCGCGCACGACATGCCTTTAAATGACCGAGTCGTTTTTATTTAGATCATTCATATCTATGAATATTCTAATACAAGAAATATCGATCCGATAGATCCGCTTCATTTTCGTGGAATATATTGATAAGGAAATGATGAAATTTGATTTTGTCATAAATTTTCTAACGATCTCTCATTCTATCGATTTCTCGTCATATTCATCGAAATTTGAAATTATTTGTCGATTTTGAAAGAAATCATAAATTAATGAGAATAAGTAAATTCATAATTTTTTCAAAATCATTATTTCATATGATTCTTTATTTTAGGAATCTTATAGCTAGATATTTCTTTGATTGATATGATTCTATTCTTGATAGAAGGATTTTATTTAAATGAAAAATATATTCATTGAATATGATGATTGATTTATTTGATTCTTCTATTTTATATGAATTTCTCTCTCTTTTTCAAGATTCGAATATGCAATTTGTTCTTCTGATCGTAGATATTTAAAAGATTCTTATAAGATAATGAGATATTCTTAGTCTTAAATCATTGATTTTATTGGCTCAGAAATTAATTTGAAAATTAGAGCTTGAGGTATTGAAATGATTCGAAATACGATAAATATTTATAGGTATTCTATATTCTATTATAATTAGCAATATTTAAAGATTTCTTGAATTTTTTGAGGATTCATGATGGGTCTGAATATATTGAAAGAAGTAATTGGAAATTTAATGACGTATTATATCTGGAGAAAATATGAAATTGCGATTTTTAATTGGAATTGGGATTCTGCATATCTGCGATTTCTGATTTTAGTTTATTTTCTTCTATCAATAGATTATATATTATATATATTGGGAATATATTATCTTCTAGATATATAAATCATTATATATTATTATATATGATATAAGATTTCTATTTATTCGAATTTTTTTCAATTAGAATAATATGATATCTCTATTATATGTATTCTATTTCAAAATATTTCTATATATTAGGAATTTACGATAATTTCATCTTCTCTTATATAGATATTATTAGATAGATAATATGCATTATATATATATATTGATTTTCAAATCAAAGAAAATATAGGATATTATATTGATATTATAAATTCTATAGATCGAAAAATATATCAAATAATCGATTGGAAATATAGGAATAG